CGTAGTTACTTTACTTATTATATATATATATATATATATCGTAGAACCTTTTACTGAGTTTGTGAAACAATACAATGAACATACATTGCTGCATGTGAGCAGAATGACATCATTATTACAATTATAACGTTACTAATCAATGTCCATTATCAACCACTGGATTTAATCTCATATTATAATTTACTGTCGTATAACGCGTTAATGAGATGATCATAACAACATCACGCAAAGTATTTATTTGCCTCAATCAAATCACAAACAACTTTATTTGAAACTAGATCCATGCGTGACATGTTCTGATCATCAAAACGAATACGTCACTGTCTTCAACAATTCTGACAACTGCACAATAATTCCTATTTGCTTTAAAAATTATACACAGTGCACAAAAAGAAGAGAACACCCTGAATAACTTTTTATCTAATGATCACGTTCAATGATTCATTTTCAATGGTCCGTGTCTTATTATAGGACCAGAGCCGTGGTGGCTCAATGGATAGGGTGTTTGACTTTCAATGAGGTGACCTGGGTTCAAATCCCAGTGATGGCTGCGCCCTACGAATTTTTTTTTTTTACTTTCCAAAAAAATTATAATAGTTTCTTTTCGAAAGTAAAAAAAAAGACAATAATTTTTTTAAAATTATTATTAATATATTCCAGCCGTGATGGCTCAGATGACAGAGCATTCCTATGAGGTGAACCGAGTTCCAATCCCAGCGATCTCTGGTCGATACGAAATCTGCACCCGGCTTGCACCGACCACAGTGCTGACACGAAATATCCTCTGTGTAAGACGGATCACGGGTTAGAGTCCCCTTGCCATCAGTCTTACCGTGGGTGGTTTTCCTCTCCATATAACGCAAATGAGAGATATTTTCATCAAACAGTCCTCTACGAAGGCACATTTTCTCCTAAAACTTGATCCAGGCGTTCCCTTGTCTTCTGGATTGGGTTCAAAATGACAAGGCCACGGGGTTGAACATTAATAGTTATAAACCCAAAATTTTGTCGGCTGCTCAACGTCGGTTATAAAATAAAATAATATAGTGCCAAATGAGAATATTTTGGTAGTGGCCTGCAGCGGTTATAGCATTTTTAGCATTAGTTGTTTTTTAAATTTTGTATAAACTTCTTCAAAAACGGAAATTCTTAAACAATTTTTCAAAAAAATTGTTAATATTAATGTAAGACATTTCTTTTTAACTTTAGTTTAAAAAAATACAGTAAATACTACGAGGTCCATATTTAAAATGAAGAAAAATTTTAATAAACTAGTGAGAAATAAAATCATTCTCAGAAAATTATAGAATATTCTTAAAATTTCTCCCTTTTCAAAAACTAATAAACAACTCATTTCTGACGAAACGTCGCCAGCAATTTCAAATCGCCATTTGAAATATTTAAAGCCCCTGGTCATTGGACCTATTAGACGCACTATAATATTCTTTACAAAATCTTAATTATCAGGTGATACAATACAGTTTTATAGTTTTTAAGCGACTGAAACCGGTTTGCACTTGTTTACGTTAGTGTATTAATTGGTTACATTAGACCAGAGGTCGCCAAAGTGGTCTATATAGACCCCCAGGGGTCTATTTAGCATAGGCGGGGGTCGATCTGAGCTAGGGGGTCGAATGGGGGTCGATTGGTCGAAGGATTATCAGTATTTTACAGATATGTGACAATTAGAAATAAAAGAAGAAGACTTGGAAATATATACAGGTAATCTTCAAAAATTGAGCGACGATTTTAAACTGCGTTTTGTTGATTTGGAAAACATTGACATCCCTGATTGGATTATTGTGCCATTTTCTGCTCAAATTGAAAACGTGGACATCAACCTGCAAGATGAGCTTGCTGAATTATTATGGGGATTTGAAGCAAAGACGCTTTTTAAAAATTTAACAATAAGCAAATTTTGGACAAATATAAATATAATGCAAAAATATGTAAGACTTTACGAAATAGCTCAGCCATTTATGATAGCATTTCCAAGTTCCTATATGGTTGAAGCCGGTTTCAGTCACGTAAATTCAATCTTAACTAAGAACAGAAATAAATTAAATGTGGAGTTTCGAGGGGATTTAAGATTAAAATTGACCAATTTTGAACCCAATATAACGAACCTTGCAGAAAAAAAAACACCAGGCACACCCATGTCATTGATTAAGAACAATAAATCCGTAGTTACTTTACTTATTATTTCTACTTACTTATAATTACTTATTATTTCATAAATATTAAGTATTTATATTTCAACATTAATATATTTCTCATAAAACTATTGTTACACTATGTACTATTACTTTAATGGATGTTCAAAATCATAAAACAGATGTACAAACACAGTATCTAATAGAGTTTTATTTTAATTAACAGAAAATTACTTTTATGGGGGTCGATGGAGATTTCGAAAAATTATGTAGGGGTCGATGATCAATAAAGTTTGTCAACCCCTGCATTAGACGATATATAATATAAATTTTACGTTTGGATAAATAAGACTATATATTATATAAATATAGAATATTTACTATATCAGGTATTATATTATTATATTGTAATAATTAGTTCAAATTATTAGACGCACTGTTGTGTTTTAATAATGACGTGAGTTTATGGGCAATACTTTTATATTTAAGCATACAAGTATTGAGTTTTTATTCAGATTTTTTTATATACTTCCTAATTTGTATATATTTTTAAAATTTTGTATTATAATGTTTACCAATTGATAGACTAACGTAAACAATTGCAGTCAGTCACATAAAAACCTGTATAGAGTATAATCTAATAATATATTGACTGTATTTGTTCAATATAGGATCTGCTCTAAACACTCTTACCTTTAAATGAATAATGTCGATTTTTTAATTTCTCTTCGGTCATCTTTACCATTGAAATAACGGTAATGACAAAAACGAAATTAGCGGTGAAACTGACCCGGATATTCCCGTTCACAATTGGGTTAAGAAAATGTTCTTTTTTATTTTCTCTCGACATTTTATTCTCGGTCACGATGACTTTTTCATTTTGTTCTTCAGTTGACAATACCCTGCATTACAACAATTTCATTTTGTTTTCTCCTCATTGTTTTTACAAATAAAAGAGAGAATTTAAACATAGATTGTCCACTTATTTCTCAAGAGCTATTCGATCGATTCATTTTCTGCAAGCAGTTTCGAGATTTTTAATTTACAATTGTATAGTTTGAAACAGTGCATGCATGTGTATAACTTACATTTCAAAATGCTTTTCCTCATTTATATTTATAGATAAAAAAATAATAATAATAAATATTAAATTTATTTATGGTTTTCGAACAAACAAATTTCATAATTATGAAGCCAAAAAAATTTCATATGTTTAAATAATAATCGTTAATAACAAATATTTTACAAAACCAATCTTTGATGAAATTGAATCCTCTAGCGTTCGTATCTAAAATGTAGTTAAGTAATAGTGACTACTACATTTGCAATCAGTAGTTTGAGGTATCTGCATTTGTGATAAAGTAGGGGAAGTTAACTACTCAAAAGGTCTAGCTTTTAGCCACGCTCATCCTTTAATAGCGGACAATACTGTTGCATGCTTTATTGAAATTGCATACATTTGCAGGCTGGTTTGCTCAATTTAGGCTTATAAACCTTTTTCAAATAGAAGAACAGATAGAACAATTTAGGTTCCCAGCAGATCACCGAAGTCAAGCATCGCTGTCTGCGGTCAGTGTGCGGGTGGGTGACCACTTGGATCAGCCTGCGTAGGGACCAAGGGTGTACGGTATGGGTCCTCGTTAAACTGTTCTACCGTCAAGTGCTCGACTTCGCGTGCAGGTCGTCGGGCTACCGAAGCGGGGGTGCCATCCCCTCTACAGAGGATCAAAATGGTGATGGCATGTCTTCGGATCATCCTCATGAATGTTTCCCAAACCGTCGCCAATAGCCCATTGTGCAGCTCAAGTGCGACGTAAATGAACTATAACAACAACAGAATATAGAGATGCACATTAAAAAGAGAACATCGAGGGTTACGACGGGATTCGAACCCGCCACCTCGACACTGCCGGACGATACCGCTCGGCCAGGGAGGCCCCCGATACTGCCGCAAGCCACAAATTAAAGAAGAAATAAAATTGCTCACCATCGTGGAACTTCCTGTCATACCTCCTGGTGATGTTCTGGGGATGAGAGTGAACAACAGGTGACGAATGAAGAGTCAGAATACCGACCACGATAGTGAGAAGCATCACGATACTGTTGTCTCTGCATGAGGGCTCCTCTCTCTAACAAAAAGAACAAAATTCCTTTAATATCTGCAGTCTGGTATAAGAAAGAACAGTTAAAGCGTTTATATTACACTCTAAAAACAATACTCTAAACACACATTTTTAAATCATGACCTTTTTCCAGGGCTCTTAATAGCCCTGGTATGGTAGCTCATTTGACTCTTTTCAGACTATGTAGATGATACTCCTCTCTTCTACGCCACAACCAAAGAAAGGACTTTCCACACCTACGACAGTGCACACATAGTTTGTCTAAATAAGAGCTCCCCTTACCATTCGTTTGGACCCTTAGTGGTGACTATGTTGTTACACATCCACCTGGAGAAGGAAAGCCTAGACCAGGTCCGTCGCGTCAGTTCCCCATATATCTGCAAGAAAGTCCCGATCAACCAGCAGCTGCTTAAAAGAAGCACCAAGACAAAAAAGAAGGTGATCAGGACTAGCTGGAACAAGGTTGGAAAGTCTTCTCCCCATTTTGAAACCCTAAACACTTAAGATGGCCGATTGGGAAGGCCGAGGGCCACAGCATGTTAATGATAGGCCAGGGCGGTCGCCAGCATACCACTGATGGGATGGAGTACGGTGCCACACTGGAAGCAAGCGATGTTTTCCCAGGGAGTGGATCTCAAGAAACGGTTCAAACCGTCCATACCACACTGGCTGTCTCATTGCCATGTACCCGGACATGCGATGGGATCCATTGGAGGCTTATTGGTGTCTTCAGAGAGAAGCTTCATAATCTCCTGGCCAGGAATATCAAATATTTCCGGCCAGTTCTTGAAATACTGTATAGCACTCCCACTATCGGCCAATATCCAAATGCAATTATTATCAATTGTCTGGGCATAATTAAGGGCAGTTCCAATAGCCATGATCTAAAGACTGAGCATTTGTCAGGGTTCCGGATACTGACTATAGTAACGTGGTATTACTATTTCAAGTAGGGTTGTGGGGGGTAGTGACGTCTCGGGTCGGTGAGAGAAGGGGAATATTGTCTTGGCCATAGAGTGAAGAGGAGCTACCCTTCCTGACTCTTGTTACCATAGCCTCAGACTTTGAGGAGACAAGCTGTAATCCCGATTGTTTAGTCTGATTCAAGGATCGAACCACCTTTGCCGAGTGGTGATACTGGATCGCTTAAACATGTTATCATTGCCTTAAAGTGCAATTATTCCTTCATAGGTGGTATAGTGGGATGATCGGGTTTGAAATATTTATATTTCAGAAACTATTACACTTATTACAGTAAATTATAAAAATAATAAATATTTTTTCAGTTGCAAATGTGCCTTTTCGTTACACTGTAAACAGCTAATAGTTTATGTTTGTAGCTTCAAAGTGACAAATGCGTTTAGTTCTTGCAATATGTTCAGAAATCGGTAACCCCAATTAGGAATTCCATAGGTCTCATGATCAAGGATAAATCATTCGTTTCTTTTATATCCGTCGTTGAACATCCGACCCAATTTTGGTCTTACGACTACTCGTGTTCAACTCCATATCCTTGTCATTTTGAACCCAATCCAGAAGACAAGGAACCTCCTGGATCAGTACCTCCAGAGGTATTGATTTGTTAAGGAAACATGGAGGATTTCGCGACTCCACAGATTGAACGTGCATCAGTCACCATTTACTAATCGGGGAGTCTTCGGCCGGCCTGGGATCGAACCCACGAACTCTTGGACATGGGCCCAGAACTCTACCAACCAGGTTATCCTGGCTCCTCACGTGACTGTTTTATATTTTATAACCGTCGTTGAACTGCCGACCCAATTTTATGGGTTTACGACTACTAATGTTAAACTCCGTATCCTTGTAATTTTGAACCCAATCCAGAAGACAAGGAAACTCCTGGGGGAAATTTTCCTTCGTGGAGGATTTTTTGATCGAGCTAACCCGTATTCGCGTTACATGGAGACCGCGAGAACCTCCCACGGTTAGCCTGACGGCAAGGGGACACTAACCCATGATCCGTCTGCCACTGAGGATATTTCACGTCAGCACTGTGGTCGTTTCAAGCCTTATGCTGTGCAAGCCGGATCACGTGACTGTTTATGAATGCTGTAAACACTGCAAGAATTTAATGAACAGATGCGAAACTGCAGAGTGTATAGTTTGTCCATGGTAAGAACTCCCCCCGCCACAAAGTCTGAGGCTGCTATGTCAACAAGAATAGCGCATTTCACGGAGAGTAGCTCCTCTGCACTCTATGGCTAACACAATATTCCCTTTCTCACACTGAACCGAGCCAAAACCTGTCCTAAACAGTGATACCACACCCTGCCTCAAATAGTTATGCTTCGTTGCTATAGTCACCAGTACGTGTCCAGACATATGTATAGGGGAGTTCTTACTTTAGACAAACTGTACTGAACACAGTTGGCCACATGTAGGACTTTTCTATGTATTATTTATTGCTAGCATTGATGTGTTGTTTAGATACATTGTTAAATGTTAGGGGAAAAAAATATCTGAAATCCAAAGCATCCATTGTTTGGTAGTTATCCAATTATTCACAACGTAACTTTCTAATTAGCCCTCTGAAAAAAATGTGTGTGTTTAGGGCAGAGAGTGGATGAAAAGAATTCAATTTTATTACTGAGGTGGATGCAAGATGTACCGTGAAACACCACCATTAATATTTATTTTTAAGTGAAAACAAAAATGCATACAAGTAAATGATTAATTAGCAGAAGAACTGTGTCGAATCAGGGTAAAGGAAAGCGAGTGTAATAGCAGATGGTACGAATGAATGTATATCATCCAGCCTTTCTTGTACTGTAGTTTCTCAAGAGTTCTTTTCCCTGATTCATACGCAATGTGTGTGACCTCTTTGTTTTCATTTTGGATAAATATATTAAAATTGGTGTAATAAACTGTATAATTATTGACTACCGAACTCTTTTGGTAAACATATTTTTGATTCTGTTCCTAACTTGATGTTCTCTGGAAGATTCTCCAAAGATTCAATGATGTGTGCAGATGACCTTTAAATAACAGGCATCTGAGCAATGAAACTAGTACAAGCAATATCTTGTTTTTCACTTCTACAGAATCTCTGCGGATGGGCAAGAGTTCGTGGGTTCGATCCCCTCTTAGTAAAATGGTGACTGATGCGCGTTCAATCTGTCGAGTCACAAAGTCATCCATGCTCCCATAACAAATCAATACCTATCGGGGTACTGATCCAGGAGGTTCCTTGTCTTCTGGATTGGGTTCAATATAACATGGCTATGGAGTTGAACATGAGTAGTGGTAAACCCAAAATTGGGTCGGCTGTTCAAAGACGGATTTTTTTTAATTTTTTTTTTAAAAAAGAATCTCTGCAGAAGGAGTTTTTTCATTTTTTTACTACATTCAACTTTTTAAACTAGAGCATTTGGGAAAAATATGAATTTTCACTGTATGATAACTATTTCATTACATCCCACGATCATTCAATGAAAAGCAACTTGTTTTATTTTACGAACGATGTGTAAAGCTAAATGATGATATCTCGCTAATGCAATATTGAATACAAATTTTAAACTGAAACTGAACAATTTTAATGCAAATGGTATCGAAAATCGTTGTATTTCCGATGGTTTAAAATCTATTTTCGCTCTGTTTGTTGCGGCCGAAAGTAGCTCAATCGATTTTTTATTCCTTGTAAAAAAAGATCACCTAACATTACGGTACACTTTTCCTTTTGAATAAAGTCGTGAGAAATTACGTACATAAACGGAATGATTGGTTTAAACTAACAAAAAGTATGACAAGCATGAATGGCCAATAGGACTTAAAAAAGTCAAAAATGTCATTTATTGCGTCACGCAGGGTATTGAAATCTAAGAAAGTCGTGTCATAATGTCGGCTTTTTCACTTTTTATAGAACCCGTTGGTTCATTCATTTGAACCGAAAGAACTTGAAGAGAGGGGTTGGTGGCACGTTCTCGAACAATGGGAATGATTCTGAAGCAATTCCCTTATTCTATTCTGTCATTGTTTTATTTCAGAAATACACGTGTCATTAAATTAGCAAAACATTTAGAAATAAAGGAAAATAAAATATTACATTTGGAGGAAATACAAAAAAGGTATGAGAGCATTGAATAGTCAGGACGATTTTTTGTCTAGATAATTCTGTCTAGCATTCTGTCCAGATTTTGTCTAGGATTCTGTGTGGTCTAGATAAATCACTAGCTACTAGGGATATAATAGGATAAGTCTAGGGAAAATGACACCATCGTAATAGATAACAGTGCAAAACGGAAATATCCCAATAGCTATTGATAGTTATAATTGTTGGATATTGCCATCACTTTCGATAACTAAGGATTTAGATACTATCGCGAATACTGTACATAAGGATGATTATTGAGCGCTGACATGCTGCGAGTGTCGGTAAATTTTATTTAGATAAGAAAGAGACAGGAAAAATTTACATAAATTATTTCAATTCGAATACCTATAGTTAAATATCTATAATTTTATTCGATACCTGAATATCGATATCTTAAGCATTTATCAGTTATGTAGGAAGGTGTTAGCGACAACTCGGAAAAGCAGGCCCTAATAACCGTTTCATTGTGGATACTTGTTGTTCACAGACACATGTGACTTGATGTCAGCAGATAGAATCTATAAGCAAAATGGCGTGTTAAAATTGAGCACTTTCTCTGAATAAACACATTTCTTTTTCAGTAAAACCTCGGTACAACAATATTTTGGGGAGAGTGTTGTAGAGGGATATGGTCTGCATACTTTGGTGACACAATAAGATTTTTTTAATTTTAATGTTATTTATGTATTAACTATAAATATATTTATATATTATGTAAAAGATTTATTTGCTGAGTGTAAATTATGGTTAAATATTAAAAACAATTGAAATACATTGAGAAAATAAAATCGCAAACATACCTGAAAACCGGTTTTATTAAAAATAATCTGATATTTTTGTTTGTTTATTCATTTTTTTTTACTGTCAAGTCAACCCACAAAGTACGCATTGGTTT